AAGCAGCACTGGAGACTGTAGCCGACTCCAAGATAATGGCTAAAAAGAGCCAGTGGATATCAGCAGCTTCTTCCAAACTAATGGATGCACGTGAATGCATCCCTGCAGGCTCTGAGTACAATGAAGAGCGAGCGCAACTTAAAAATAAACTGACGAAAAGTCTGCGCAACGATCGTGAACAGTGGTGGGCAGCAAAGGCTAAAGAGATGGAAAAGGCAGCGGCGATCGGTAACAGTAGACAGTTATTTAGACTTATTAAGGAGACTGGGGGGAAATGGTCAACAACAGTTAGTGAGGTTATAGCGGAGAAGGACGGATCGGCGATTCACTCGCAGGGAAGGCGACTGGGACGATGGGCAGAACACTTTGAGGAACAGTTTAACTGGCCTCCAGCCACCATTGCGCTGCCCGCTATCCAGTCGGACCCTGAATGGGACATAGAGACAGGTCCCCCAACACTAGAAGAAGTTGAGAAAGCGGTAGGTAGCCTGAAACGGGGAAGGGCAGCAGGACCAGACGGACTACCTGCTGAGGTATACAAGAATGGTGGTAGAGTTCTCTTAGTCAGGCTAACGGAAGTGTTAGCCAGTATATGGGAATCAAATACGATCCCCTCCGACTGGTCTAAGTCACTCATCATCCCAGTCTTCAAGAAAGGCGAGAAGTCCTCTTGTGATAACCACAGAGGAATCAGCCTGACAAACATAGTGTCTAAGATCCTAAGTTCTATAATTCTCCGACGCCTGAGTGGAGCTCGGGAACAGCAAGCCCGAGAAAACCAGGCAGGCTTTAGACCTGGCCGTGGATGTATCGACCAAATATTCACACTGCGCCAGGTCCTGGAACATAGGCATGCTTACAGACGCCCGACAATAGCTGTATTTCTCGACCTGAAGGCGGCATTTGACTCCGTTGATCGAGAAGTCTTATGGCAGTGTCTGTCACTGAAAGGCGTGCCTAGTAAGTACATCACCTTATTGAAAGCTCTCTACTCGAACACTTGTGGGCATGTTAGAGCCTATGGTGAGTTGTCCAGGGAGCTATACTCATCAAGTGGTGTCCGTCAAGGATGCCCACTATCCCCATTCTTATTTAATTTTATCATAGATATTCTTATGGAGGTTTCCCTCTCGTCACCTAATTACAAAGACGTTGACCGAATCACAGGTGAATTTTCCTTAGATCTAGAATATGCAGATGACATAGTCCTGTTAGGTGAAGACGCTGACAAGATGCAGAGTCTTCTGAACACTTTGAGTGGGAATTTGAGAATGTTTGGGATGCGATTTTCACCACCCAAATGCAAATTTTTGCTCCAGGACTGGTCTTCAGCGGTACCGCGGTTAACAATAGAGAGTGAAGTGGTTGAGTGTGTTGACCACTTCACTTACCTGGGAAGTAGGATCAACCCTGGTGGGTTAGTTGCCGATGAGATTTCTGCACGGATACAAAAGGCTCGATTGGCTTTTGCCAATTTGCGCCACCTATGGCGCCGCCGTGATATTCGTTTGTCTATTAAGGGTCGCGTGTACTGCACAGCAGTCCGCTCTGTTCTACTGTATGGCTGTGAAACATGGCCATTGAAAGTGGAAGATACGAAAAGGTTACAGGTGTTTGACCACCGTTGCCTTCGTAGTATAGGACGTATTCCGTGGTGTCACCATGTGAGTAATGCAGAAGTTAGGTGTAGAGTTTTAGGGAGAAGAGGTAAGTCAGTCGACGAGGTTGTGAACCTTCATCGACTGAGATGGTTGGGACACGTACTACGTATGCCTAGTCACCGATTGCCTCGTCACACAATGTTGGCTGAGGTGGGTTCAGGCTGGAAAAAGGCCCGAGGCACCAATGTATGAAGTCTCTGACTGTTGGTTTAAGCCATGTAGGACGATGCAGACTAGGTGGTTGGGGTCCACGGGACAAGAGGAACCAGTGGTTGGAGACCCTAGGTGATATGGCTCAGAACCGAAGTCAGTGGCGCAGATGTATACACACATTATCCTCATCTTAACAACGCTATACCGAATCTCACTATTTTGTCACTCCTCTTTCCTTTCTTCTCGTACTTTATATTTCTTTTGACTGCATTCACTTATCTTCATCCTTCACCTCACTACCTTTTTACTTGATGTGCTGATATGAGGTGTGGCAACTCGGACCGTTACGCAGTAATGCCTGGTCCTATGTTGATAATGATGATGATGATGATGATGATGCCGTTGTCATCATCTGCAAAGTCGTTCTGGGATCTTGTTCGATGTGTGACAATATTCCCGTTCGAACATCAGCATCTTTAAGGTTCTTTAGACTACAAATAAAAATTAGACATTTAAGCTGATCACATGTCATTTCCTTGGCTTAGAATTGTTTACATTCGTGATTGACTTTACCAGCATAGGTTATTTTATCTTCCGAAGGTAATTTCGATAATTGAAAGTATTGATACCGAATATTAAATAGAGAGAACTGCTCACAAAAGATTTGAGATGGAATATTGATAGTCTCATCGAATAAAAATCCACGAGGATTTCCCGGCAGGATTAAAATTGATATATTTATTGTATTCGATAGTGGCAAGTCTTCGTAGTAATGATCAAACTTTGGTTGCATCATCGAACATGGAGCACTAAATACGAAAAAGATCATATTGATTAACCATGAGTCAAACATGAGACCAGATATTAGATCGCAATTAAACTCACTGGTAGATTTAGAAATGCTTTTATATTTATCTGCATGAGATGCTGACGGCGACTGAATTGACAACTTATGTGTTAAAGCTTAGACTGACATAAGTTGAGATGCTTCATTTTGGGCTTGTTGAAATTGGAAAGTCGATTTGACGTCATCTACTGGAGTAGACAAAACGAAATAGAAAATCAACACCCGTCGCTAATTGAATTGACTGATTGAACAATAATAATAGTAATAATAAATACACGAAACGATAATAACGCGATGCGAAACTTTGACTGACTAGGAATGGCAACTGTTCCTTCTCAGACCTGATGCTTCATTGAGCCGTGAAAATCAGAAGACAAAGATTGGCCTATGACTGTAAGAAAGACACTTTATTTGAGAAGTACACTGTTCATATGCAGTTTTCCTCAGAAGTTGGATACTTATTTTGATTGGTCAGCTGTGCGACAAAATTGTCCAATAAGGTATTTCTTACCTACACAGTAACATGAAACAAGGTTGAAATCCAAAACTTCTAACTTAGCGACTGATGACTTAGAATGCTGATTTCAACTTAGGCCTTTTTCTATCACTGGTGGTCATGCGCACTCAAATACAGGTGTTTGAAAGACGCTTATGCTATTTAGTCGAATCAATTTTAGGACTAGATACAGAGTTTTAAGGGGAAAATGCAAGTCAATGGATGTGGTTTCAAACTTAAGCGAACTGAGTTGTCTGGAACATATATTAATCTCATCCCCTGGCTACTTGGCCTTATAGCTGATGATGTTTCTATCCATCCAAACTAACATAGGACCAGGCATTACTGCGTAATGGTCCGAGTTACCACAGCTCATATCAGTACATCAAGTGGAAGATGAAGAAAAGAAAATTCAGTCAAAAGAAATACAAGGCACTAAAGGAGAGAAAGGAAGAATGAGGAAATGGTGGAATTCTGTATAGCGTTAAGATGAGGATAATGTGTGTAAACATCTGTGCCACTGACATCGGTTCTGAGCCATGCCATCACCTAAAGTCTCCAACCACTGGTTCCTCTTGTCCCGTGGACCCCAACCGGCTAGTGTGCATCACCCGACATGCCTCAAACCATTAGTCGAAGACTTCATACAAATGGTGTTTGCAGTAGGTTTCAGATGGAAGGGAGCTAAGAGTCATTGGATCAAGAAAATACGTCTATTCTTGAAGTCATTAGCCACCAACTTTAAGTGTTTCGGATGGTGTACGCTTCTTCTTTGAGGACTTTAAGCAGCAGTTGAAAGCAATTGTTAGAGATAATAAGTGATATGATTGAAAGTTTAGAGCTGTAGTGCATTAGGTTAAGAATTCAAACCCCTAAGCAATGGGTTCTGGGTGTAAAATTTTCTCAATCTGCCGTTGGATGAGCAAACAGTTAGTATCATAAACTCATCACACAATAACTATAGTTAACAGCCGAGTACATAAAAATATGTGTAGGTTTGATTTCACTGAAAATTGATCACCATCATGCAAATTTGTGCACTTTTTCTCTTTAGAATCTTGAAAATCTTATAACACTTTAATTTATATTCCTTTCACTCATAAATATTTATTTATTGCTACATATATACATATTTATCCGATGTTATGGCAGGTAGAAGTAGTACTCTTTTGTTTTACGTTCCACATTGTTATGTCTCTGTCTGTCTTGAAGATAAGGCATTCACCTATCTATTCAGAGCATATTCACTAATGTTTAAGATAACTGATGTTTGGAGTAGAAGTAATTTGTTTCCATGTTGATATTTATCATGGAGAAACACTGGAAGCCTAAGGGGTACTGGACAGCTTTTTCGTTCTAGTATGAAACTTCTTTGCAGTGCGCCCCCGTAACCCTGCCAGGGATCAAACCCAGGACCTTCGGGTTACGCTGTCAGCACGTTACCATTGAGCCACTGGGTCGGCATTTAATGATCCACATTTCCTACTTCTGTCAGTTCACGACATAGTACGACCTCCATCCACTATTGAGTAAGTGTCCTCATGTTCGGCTTAGTTGACCCCACCCATCACAGTTTCTCACTAGAACTTCTGGAATTTCATCTCAAAGCAGGTCACTAATGAGCACTAGAGTAATCTATGGTCGGGTCATGGGTGCCAACTGCTGAGGCGTCCCATACCTGGACGAAACAGCTATCCAGTACTTCTAGTTTTCCAGTGGTTCTCTAACCGGTATCAGTCCACGATGTGAATATCAACTTGAAATCAATAAATGAATCTCTACTAACCTCCATATTTGTTTATTCAGAAATTACTGTTATCTGTCTTCGTTCTGTTATTGATAGATGAATGAAATTTATAATCAGTTAGCTTTCGATGATCAACCCGGAGGTGCTTGGACTCAAGGATTCCCAATTACTTATAATATGGATCAGTGGAAAGATAAACCATTAGAAGTATTCATTGTACCATTTTCACATCAAGATCCAGGTAATTGAAATAATCTTTGAAAAATTATTATCTACTAGCAAATGATGCGAGTACCACTAAAAATTGGAGAATATTTATTGAATAGCTAATTTATTAGAATTATTCGATTGTACTAATTAACACAGTTAAAATCAGTTTCTCATTATTCATAATAATAAATGCTTAGGTGAACTGTGAAACAGAGTGATTCGTGACAGAATTGCCAATAATGTACTATTAGTGTCATTATTTTCAGTGCAAATTCACTGGATACTATAACTAGTTTGTTATTAGAGACTGTCAGATAGACAAAGAGACAGACAAAATCATCGTAGAACCTCGCACACAAGTGGATCGGTTCAAGTTGCCACAATTCATAGTAGTACACAAAGAACAGGTAGGTAGAAAAAGTCTGATATCAAGGTAAACAAAGTTGTATGAGAGAATAAACAATCTGAAGATGAAGACTGTCTTCAGGACTCTAGCCAGATAAGTCCGCATCTCTCGACGCGGTTCAGGCCAATAGTTAGGGACTTCCTGGACCGATGTCACGTCTTCGTCTGGAAGCTATTGCTGCTAACAGCTTCAACTGTTATCATTACCTTTATTTCAGTGGTAATACTTGCATATATTTGCCATAACCGACGACCAATTAGTCGAAAGTCGAAAAAGTGATTGCATAACCTTTGGTAAGAAATAAATGCCAAGAATCCTTATGCATAAACTTTTCTACAAAAAGAGTGTTATGTTAGTTATTTCATTTTACTGTTCTTATCAAAATGGTAATTGTTCTTATCGGATTTTGAGTGTATTATTAGGATTGATATGATGGTTCCTTATCATAATAGTAACTTATCATGGGATTACTCATTAGTAGCCTGAGTAGTCAGGGGAACTTTATCCTCATTTCGATCTTGGTGGCTAGCAGAGGGATCCACGATACGCGTTTCGTCGTATATGGGACTCGTCACCTGGATGTACCTGCACCTCAGTGAGTGATGTTGTTCCCACCTGGGTTCGAACCCCGTACTCTTAACTTCAGACACCAGAGCGTTATTCTTCTTTACTTTATTTTTGAGATAGAAAAAGTTAATTATTGTTGGTTGCATTCAGCGTTCTCTTTCTCGGATAAAGTCTAGATTATATCTTTGTACACGAAAGTTGTAACCAGTTTGTGTTTTCCGAGACTGTGAAAGCTCTCATTGAAGATTTCCATTTTTCTTCTTTCCTTTTGCGACGTAGTAATTTAGTCATCTCTAGGGTTTAACATTAGTGATAGGAATGAGATGTGGATTGAGTTCTTTTACTCGAAATAACTACTTGACAGATAATGTAGTGGAAGTAAATGATGTATACAGCTTAAAATATCCCTCTTGAAGATGGTGAAATGGAAACGATTTGAGGCCATTTCTAACATAGGTAATATTTTGCATGAATGCGCCTAAGAAACCCAGTGTATATCCTTAACTGCTAACAAATGTAACATGAGGTTTAATAATTGTGACCAGTTGACTCATTTCCACTCGTGAGTTAAAGGTGCAAAGATTACTTCAGCTACAAACTTTTCAGGAACCACCCAGCAGATATGATTTCTATCGTAATATATAAATATTTGTACATGCTTTTAATTAATCTATAATACTGTACATATCTCAGGATCTACCCGAAAAGCATAGATGATGTTACTTTCTTTATCTCTCTAAATACTGAATATCTGATTATTTTTTATTTCCCTCTTCTCCTGTCTGCGCTCGTTTACCTTCACTTATTTCTGTTCTTCTACTTTACTGTGCTTGTTATTATGATTATTATTATGTTCCCCCCTCTAGATTTTTCCTTAACTTTGTATTAACAAGTAAGAGATAAAGTGATACAACTCATAAACGGTGTACTGTTTTGTATATTAGCCTGCAATTCATGCTCTTTTCGTGAGAGCTATTGATATCTTTCAGCTACGGAAATTTTGATTCGAAAAGCAAGTCATGAATATTTGACCTATCAAAAGAAACTTGATTGACTTTAAAGATCACCTTAGCAACTGTCGAGATAACCAATCAGTAATCAGGATTCCGGCTAGAAAGGTAACTTTTCACACAATGAAGGAAAGTAATTGGTTATCACAAAAGTTAAAGTTAAAAGTTAAAGTCACTCAGAAAGTTAGACTAATGAAATTTGATCTCTCCCATTTAGCTAGTTGTGTAATAAATAAATTTTAAACGATCGTAGTTTTTGTAAGAATATTAAAGTTTGTACAAGTAGAATAAGCTTTCAACTTACCATCCTAGTGAACTGAGTCACCTCTCTATGGCTGTCTGCTCAGGTAATAAGTCTTCGACAAAATGAACTCAGTGCACTCCTCAACGGCATACACGTTTGTACAGTAGGCAATGAAACATTTCTAATTTGTTAGGGCTGTACAGCCCTTGATAATTGAAGCTTTTTTCAAACTCGTATCTCAATAGTCAAAAGTCAACTACTTAAATCAATGAGCCATATTTTCACTATTCCGAAGAACAATTTTTTTGTAAATAGAAGTATTAGATGAGGAAGTTCGTGTTGCAGAATTTTATTATTATTATCAGTCTCTTGGGTTCCTAATGGAACATAGGGCTTCAGTAGCACGTCTCCAGTGAACTCTGTTCTCTGAAATCTTTTGAACCTGGCTCCACGACAGCCCAGAAGCTCTCATTTCTTCCTCGCACGATCTCCTCCATGTCACCCTCGGACGTCCAACTCGTCGCTTCCCATGGGGATTCCACTCGAGGCTTGGCCTGACGCGTGATGTTCCCAGTCAGCCTTCTCAGTGCATGCCCAATCCATCTCCACTTCCTTCTACTGCATATTTGTTGAGCGATAGGTTCTTGGTTGGTTCGTTCCCAGAGCTCCTTGTTGCTTATTCTTTCTGGCTGTAGTAATGAAGCAGTTTCCAAATTACCTCTCGGTCGACGCTGTCAAAGGCCTTCTCAAAGTCGATGTAGTTGAGGTGTAGAGTTGACTGCCATTCTATACTCTATTCTATGATGATGCGTAATGTAGCCTTGCAATTTGGTCCGCACATGATTTGTACTTCCTGAAGCCTGCCTGTTCCGGTCGTAGTTGTGAATCCAGTGCATCCTTTAGCCTCTCCAGGATGATGCGGCCTAATATTTTGCTTGCTCTGGGTGGACAGGCGGGTGATTCCGCGCCAGTCGTGTTACAGAATATATTCTATTATTACATATATGTAGGTAACTATCAATTTTTCAATGAAATTTAGTATAATCTCTCATTACTTTTATAATTTTTTTAATTACCGAATACAATTGTATATACAAAATTACTTTTGAATTATTTTATTTTCTATACTGTTAGGATGGCGTAAAACTCTTGAAAATTACTTCTCCACTGAAACAAAACCAAATCTTGATGCCACTTTAATTGCATTAAGTGAACATGTAGACGCTAAATTTGTGTATTCTGAAGTATCATTTTTAAATTTATGGCTAAACACTTTATCAGAAGAAAAAAAGCAAATATTTAAAAGGTAAATTTAAACAAATTAACCTGATTATATTTATAGTAAAGAATATGGAAACTCTAATTTATAAATTACTTTTTGGTGATTATTTAAAAAAAACTTTGTATTATTGAGCAATGAAAGAAATTGCACTCAGCCATGTTATGCAATAGGCAATAAGCTATATCTATTGTATATGAAGCATAGTGATACTATTATTATCTGGTTACCTAAATCTTGATAGATAGGGTAGGGCTTGGACCCGTGACCTAGTGTTTGATAGTCATCTCCTTGATCTACTGAGCCATAGTTCCCTCTATATCATCACTATTCTTTCAGTCGGCAGCCTTTTTTTTTATTACTGTAAACTATTGCATAGTTATTTCAATATCGAAACAGTTAGTCAGTGTTATGGATGAATGAACATCAAATCAAATGGATGTGAATTTTTATCAGGTAGAATAGTTATCACTCTATTATGTTAGTTTGATTGTGCAATGAAATCAATGTGGGCGAAATATAAGGAGAGAAAAACCAAGAGGAACACTATCACATTATCACATGCACAAACACATACATACTCCTTCGACAGCTTCACTCACATCTCATACCCACTCCTTATATTCATATTCATACTCATACTCATCACCGTTCTCGATCTCTACGTCCTCCTCAGCTGTAGCCAACTGCACGCCTCTTAAACACTGTGCTCCATCAAACCATGCATACATGCGCATATAAGATACAAAATCAATACATATTTGTACTGATTCTTTGATCCTCATTTTAGATAACGGGCAAAATACTGTTCCCTCTTAAACAGTGACCGTAACTTAAAGTCCTGTATACCGATTTGCATTTGGTTAGTGAGTTACAGCTTATTCTGAGCATAACTATATCAGCCTATATATAAATAGTTCCCTTTTTTTTAATATTAACACAGATTACTATCCAACGGACAATGGGAAATCGTTTCAGGTGGTTGGGTTATGCCCGATGAAGCAGTCACACATTACTACTCAATTATTGATCAATTTATCGAGGGTCATCACTGGCTATTAGAACATTTTGGTAAGTTATACTGATTTAATGTAGGATATTCATTCATAAATGATACATTGATCTTATGTTTTGCATTTCTTCAAATGCAAACTTAGTACAAGATAGACACTAAGAGAAGCTCTAAAAGAAGTAATAAAGCAATACTAAGAAGACTAAGGAAACAAAAAAAGAAGTAGGTTGGTGAAGAAGTAGGCTGAGAGACACATCCAAAAAGGTACTCACTACTATAAGTGTAAAACTTCAGCACTTTGGTAGGCTATTAGATTTCCTATTAGATTTGTTTAATTTGATGTTGCATACAATGATACAGTTTTATTTACTTAATGGTGTTTCACGCATAAATTATTTCTCATAATCATATCACAGTAATTTCACAACCTTTGACATCTGAAAGCTGTTTGATTACTTTAATATGATTATGAGAAATAATTTACGACTGAAATGTCATCACTTAAATAAGGCATTCACTAATTTGGTCTTACTTTGGAATAACAGAAAAAACACAAGAAAGCTGTCATAAAATCACCACTGGTTTCGATTCTGGACCAGATCTGTTATCTTTTCAAGCCACTGAGTTGTATGATCTATCGAACACTATTCAGGGATGCGTGAGGCGCCTAGAGATGCTGAATTCACGCAACTATTCTCCCATATAAACGGCACCACATCATACACTACACACTTCCCCACTTATTCTAGGAAAAGCAACAGTCACCAATGTGGGAGCTGCTGAGACGACATATGTAATACAAATCTATTTCACCGATATCGTAGGCAATCATTATCACACCTTAACAAACTGCCTTACCCCAGGATTACTGATATCGTATTGTCACCAGATATGATGAATCCACACAGACAACAAGAATGGAAAAGATGGAATTATTGCACATCCTCAGCTCGGAGAAGCTAGGTTTCACAGGCTCTTACCAATCTTGATGAAACACCTTTCAATTTGACGGTGAGAAACATATGCCATACTTATGACACTGATCATTAAATGATGACATTCGATTTCAATAACCCGTGTTTTATCGCACGGACAAACGATATCGTCCGCATGCTGGAGGTCAAAAAATCTTTCAACTGGTAATGAGTCTACGTCACTACCACGCTGTTTCAAGAATTTCTTAAGTGATAAAGTTGACAAGGAGTGACAAAATCAGACAGCTCTGTCCAACCCCATTATTGTTTCGAAGCTATAAAGAAAGGTATCTGTAAGCCTTCCCCTGGCCTGAGGTTTTGAAGTATATAGCACAGCCCTGTTTGACGAATCGAAGGTAACTCTAATATCAAGAATTACAACAATCGTTGGCTTGCAATACGTATGACGATGTCTGAGCATCTAGGGAAGGATGGTCACGTGATCACTGTAACCACAACCTAGACGAAACCCGGCTCGTTCCTAGTGGGTCAATTTTTCACGTGTTCGGCACAACCTGTGAAGTATGATGGCAGCCAATACTTTAGACGCTGTTGATAGCAGATTGATACCACAATGCTTATCACATGAGTTACGTAGATGTGTTTTAAAGATAAGCAAAATGATGGTTTCATTCTAGAGTGGTGAAAAACTGTCCGTCTGTTCTATTTTCGAAACAATATAGTCAGTCCGGTGATCCCAGTTTACCCGTCTGCCCAAGACGAGCGGAACATAAGTTATCTGGGCCGGTTGCCTTATAACGCTCTCAAACATGGAGTTCCTTATCAATTGTTTTACTAGTTGGGTCAATGTTAACCGTTGAACGTTTGCATCTCGAGTTGCCAAACCATAATAACAGCATCAATTAGCAGTACGTGAACAATTGGAACGGCGATATTGAACGAAACATAAATTTGACTAGGAGTGTAGACGCAACTGTATGTCTCCAAACCTATAATATTAAAATCTGACTCCATCTAATGGACTAACGGTAACCATTTGGTATTGCAGCTTTTACTCAATAGGTGTGTTTCGGTCCCTTGAACATAAAATAATCATACAAAAATATGTTACATTGCACCTATGTGATTGTTTTGCATGGGAACTAGTTATAAACTGAAAAGTATTGATGATCACTTACTAACAAATCAGTTTTAGAGGTAGTATTCACCATAGACTGAGATCAGTTGGGGAACCATTAAAAACCTGGAGGCACCAGCCACCTGTTTCGTCCTAGTATGGGACTCCTCAGCAGTACGTACCCATGACTCGGCTAGGGATTTAACTCAAAACCTGTCTGGTGCTCCCAGATTTTCAATGATTCCCCAACTGATGTCAGTCAATAATGAATACTACCTCTAAATTAAAATCCCCATTCATTTCATAAATAAACCACTTTTAAGTTGAATGTTTAGACATTTGTCTATCATCCCCTTTTTGTTAGTGTTGTCATTGACATTATTAAGTCTTTTTCGGAAATCATGGTGAATATTTCAGCTAAACCACATACGAATTAGAATTAATCAATTTTGAGTGTACTCAAGTTCAATAACTATGCACTATGCACAGAAATATGACTGACTTTAAAGCTAAGATATAAGGGTATTGACCTCTTAATTTGAAGAAATAAATATTTGGGATTAATGGTCATTTATAAAATCGAAGGTAACTATATCGTTAAGCATAGTATATAACAAGACATGTAGATGAGCGATATTGTTTTCAATTATATCTCCTTACTCTCCTTCACTCTAATATAGAAATACTTTTGCATATAAAATATGTAAACCAGTCAGGATATTTTATCAGTTAATGATACTTAGGATATGAGTTGTACACTTTGGAATCATAAAATAGTGGTAGTGACGATAAGATTCATCAACAGCTGCCTACGCTCGTAACTGGAGATTAGATGGCCAGATAGCATAAGCAACATGGAACTCTGGCAACGAACCATTCAAGAACCTATTACCCAACAAATATGCAGAAGAAAGTGGAGATGGATTGGGGATACACTAAGAAGGCTGACTGGGGACATCACGCGTCAGGCTCTCTAGTGGAATTTAAAGGGTAAACGGCGAGTTGGGCGTCTGAGGCGATGGTGATACGGAGGAGATAATGTGAGGAAAAAATGAAAGGTTGTGGGAAATCGTGGCACCAGGTTGGAAAGACTGCAGAGAAAAGATTGCAATGGAGGCGTGAAATTGAAGTCCTATATTCCACTAAGAACCCAAGGAAAAAATAATACTAAGTGACGATAAGAATATTGAGAAAAGCAACTCTAATTGCTACTCTAGACATTGTTGAAGTAACCAATCGAGTTTCAGTTTTTCTGTGGGGACGTTAGTCCACTTGTAAAATAAAAAAATCTGACTGGCTCTCTCAGTGTTTGCTAGAATGACCTTTAAAGTCACTCATTGAGAAAAGCATAATAATTTGAACAGGTATTCAGACAGACAATGTAGGTTATCCATATAAAAAAATGTTAGATTTCACATGTAATTACAGTGTTTTAAAGCAACAAGGAAGAAAGCTAACTGAAGTAGGGGGATATTAAACTTTAAAAAAACAGCTATGAAGAAGAGACAAGATATGAACAAAGTAACGTATCACCTTCAGTCACCTTGTGCACATATGTGCAGTAGGCAATGAGTTACATCTGTTGTATATGAGAGCTTCTGATACTACCTGGTTGCCTAAACCTCGGTAAGCGAAACGGAGTTCGAACCCGAGACCCACTGGTTGACAGTCTTCTCCCTAAACCACTGAGTCACAGATGAATAAAGACTGATAAAATGTTTGGAATTTTCAAGATGATAGGTTATGACTATGCTGATGACACTTTGATCAATTTTGAATCATGTTACCAACCCTCTCGAACGCTCAATTTCTAACGTTTACACAGCATAATCAATTAGCTTACACTTTTGTAAACAGCTGAGATCCATAGTCATTGACTTAATGAATCATTGTTTTTTCTGTTGGCCAGTTACCTATAGATTTTCAGAGTAGATGGTGACTTGTTATCAGTACAGTCATACTTAGGCAGTTCAGTCAGTAGATTTAAAGTCGTGTCGAATAAGACCCACCATTGTTTTCGAGTACTCTACACTTAAACGAAACAGTAAGGATAGTGCTACAACGTTGCATTTATGTTAGTGTAAATATGAAGGTAGTTTTCCCATCAAAAGTCAATTTTATACAGGAATACTAACCTGTCTATCCGTTTTAACTAATTTTCCACACTAACTAATATCTTATCTGCTTACGGTGACCTTATTTATAGTAAGTACATCATATCCTGAGATAGTTTAAACTGACCACTTAAGTATAGTAATATCACTAATTCAAAGACTGATCTACGCAAAGACTGAATATTAAGGTTTTAAGGGATTGATTGGTTTGAAAATCACCAGTCGGAGATTTATTAAAAACTGAGGAGCACCAGAAAACCGTTTTTCTCTCAACTTGGGACTCCTCAGCATTGTGCACCCACGATCCCCATTAATTTCAACGCTGACCAAGCAGATTTCTCAAAAGATAACAAAAACCCTGAATGAAACCACCTGATTTTTAATGGTTTATATTCTTATAATTCACACGAAGTATAACATGCATTGACTCAATCCGCGAATTCCCCAAATTTCAGTCGGTCCCTGGCGAGGTCATAGGTGCACACTGCTGAGGAATCCCCTATTAGGACAAAACAGCTATACACTACTCCTAGATTTCCAATGGTTCTCCAACTGATGTTAGTCTGTGATGAATACCAGCCTGAAATCAATACATAAATCCCCCAGAAAACTTCCAAATTGAGTCGAATAATAATACCTTAGGGACTAGTTTTGAAATCAATTTCCTGAGAAGTGAAATGAGGACGGATGTACACCTGTGACATTAGATAATAATCGATCTAGATCATGAACTGATAGACTTTTGGAAATATGCACCACTAGGTGTAAACCAACCGTCTGAATTGTTACTTATTCTTACTGATTCCTAACCATTCTATATTTGCTCCCCTGTAGTGTTGTGGTGTACGCTACTTGTGAGCCCCTAACATGAACGTAGCAAATAACCAGTAGTTTTAGGTGATAACAACCGTTATTTTCTTTTATTAAGTTGTAAAACATTAGGATTCATCAATTCACCATGAACCATACAATAAAACAGTTACGATTATCGTAATTTGGTTTTACTCAGTTATGCTTTAAATACAACACTTCAGTTAATCTGACCTTTAATCCACGATGATTGTTCCTAAGTAATTCTTGTGCTAGCATATCTGGTCCTATTGCCTTTCCTTGTTTCAGGTTACTTTAACGTTTTCAAATTCTGGGACAGTAGTTGGATGGTACATTTCATTGGGTATCTGACTGAATCTAAATACAATCAATGATCACTTGAACTTTCCTCAGGTAGGCAATGGAACGCACCCATTATATGGCAGCTACTGATACTGCCTGGTTTCCCTAACCTTGACAGGTGGAACAAGTTCTGAACCCGTGTCCCATTGGTGGAAAGTTAACTACCTACACCACTGAGCCACAGCTTCACAGACCTAACTGAATGGTAGAAAGTGGATTATTAGTTGGGGGCCAGTTGAACTATTCGTTGAAATCTTCTATTCCTTTTACCTGCTAGTGAATCAAAGACATATCCTTCTCCTCTATATTCTCACTAAATAGTGAACGTATCCGTTCAATTTGCTCAATAATTGGTAATAGCTGTGTACTGTTACCTATCGCTTCTGTTTACATTTTACAACCCACCACTACTTCTGGTCATTGCATAGACTCTTTGTCAGTTTAAATTTGAGTTTCTCCCATTCCTCATTGTAGTTAGAGCTTGCAGAAATGCATCCATTTGCTGCTAAGTCGTGGAAGATTAATTTTTCTTGAGGCAGCTTTTAAGAGAAATTGGCTCTGTATTACTTGTGTATGACCACAAAGGTCACGAGACGTCTGCTTGAACATGATCAAACATGGGTTACTTTAGGAGTTTATAGTTTAACTTTAGCCGACCTGAATCCAGCTACAAAACCCTTACCTCCGACACCGAAACACCCCACAGCAATTTTACAGGTTGACCTTCTGTAACCCTCCGTTTGTAGAGGGGAGGCAGTATAAGCATTGAACTGTTAGTCATCTATAGGAAACACCTTACTGTTGTCAAACCAATGTCCAGCCAACAGTATGACTACACCATCAGACCCCCTGTCATGACGTAGCAATTTATGCTATACTGGTAACTGCTTTCTGTCTTACCATTACCCAACATGCCTTTGTTTTATGATAGGATCTCAAGGGACAAATGTCCTTGGCTGCACAGCTCGTTGGGACATTATGATAGGCAAGTTCGATCATTACGTCAAGGTAGCAGCTATCCATCGAAATCAGTTGTATACAGTTATTTCCGTTCTCATTATTCCAATACCCGTTGTCTGGAAATACTAGCTGTTGGGATTTGTTTTTCTGTTTCTGACATGAGGCAGATAGTTGTATTCCTACTGGGGATAGTTATTTACCTTGACAGGACAAGGAAGATACTCAGTAACACATAATTATGTTGCAGTGACTACCCATTACTCCTAGTTATTAGTTTATGAAGACACAGATAGATAAAATCAACGTAGAACTTCGAGCTAAAGTGGATCGACCCATGTTGTTACACTTCAAGGGAGCACGCAAACAAAAAACGGGTAAAAAGAGAGTGATATCAAACTAGACAAACGTTTATGGGAGGAGAAAAAGAGTTTGAAAAATGAAGGTTATTGAAAATGTTTAAATCTCAGAAGATATCAAAGAGTAAATGGATATTCACTACTGTGACGGACTTTCAATTGTGTCATCAAACCCTATCATCAATCATTGATTCCTGTGATGTATCTTCAGACCCCCGTCCAGTCAGTCTACACTTCTCTGTACACTCACTTTGTGAAGTATGCATATAAAACCTTTTGATTCAATAATTTTGTACCTGAAAACTTCAATTATCGTCTTGTTCTTAATACAATTAAAAGTTGAACATTTATTTCCACATTTTATATGCTAAGTTTTGTCACGAACGCACTATTACATTGTTATTATTATTATCGTTATTATTATTGTTATTATTACTCATTGTTTTCTCTTGCTCTCATACTAACCTGTTAGACTATCGACCTAATACAACATGGTCTATTGATCCATTTGGACAAAGCTCAACAATGGCTTACTTATCGAAAAAGTTTGGTTTCTCAAATATGATTATTAATCGTGTGCACTATGAAGTAAAGAAGTATCTAGCAAAAAGGAAAGCTTTAGAATTTTTCTGGTATCAAACATGGGGTAATTTTGATGATGTATACATACATATTTAACCATCTCAATCTTTATGCTTGACAATTTTTCATACCTATGATTTTACAAATTTAAACCATATTCTACACATATTGAAATCGAAATGTGTATACTGTCTATCATAGAACAGAGCATAGAATGGCAATCAGCTCTCTACCTCAACTTCATCGACTTTGAGAAGGCCTTTGACAGCGTCGACCGAGAAGTAATTTGGAAACTGCTTCAATACTACGGAATACAGCAAACCTTTATCCGCCTCATTCAACAACTATATGAAGATGCCACATGCCAGCCAAGTAATTCACAATGGAAAGCTCAGTGATGCTTTTGAAGTGAAGACAGGAGTGAAACAAGGTTGCCTACTATCCCCCATGATATTCCTGATTGTGGTGGACTGGATCATGCAGCAAACAGTGGGGAGCGAGAAGAGGGGGATACGCTGGACTGCGGAAAACAACCTAGAAGACTTTGATTTCGCCAACGATGACTTGTGTCTGATGTCACACAAACTTGAAGACCTACAGGCGAAAACTAACAAGTTGGCAGAAGAGGTGAGGCAGCGAAGACGGGATTACAAGTGAATATAGAGAAGACAGAAGTGATAAAGATACCGCATCAACAACTCCAACAACAACAACAAACTCCAATCACCATGAACGGGAGGAACTTAAAGGAAGTAACCTCCTTCACCTATCTAGGAAGCACTGTTTCAACTACAGACGGGACGGACGAGGACGTCAAAGTCAGAATCGGAAAAGCAAGACAGGCGTTCATTAGCCTGAAACCAGTGTGGAGATCTTCTGCACTCAGCATGTGGAACAAGATCCGGATTTTCAACACCAACCTCAAGTCAGTGCTCTTGTATGGCTCAGAGACTTGGCGCGTCACGAAAGGGATTTCCAATAAACCACAGACATTCATCAACAATTGCTTACGCTCGTTACTGAAGATCGGATGGCCAGAAAGAATAAGCAACAAGGAACTCTGGGAACGAACCAACCAAGAACCTATCACGCAACAAATATGCAGGAAGAAGTGGAGATGGATTGGGCATGCACTGAGAAGGCCGGCTGAGGACATCACGCATCAGGCCCTCGAGTGGAATCCCCATGGGAAGCGACGAGTTGGACGTCCGAGGGTGACATGGAGAAGGTCGTGCGAGGAGGAAATGAGAGCTTGTGGGCTGTCGTGGGACCAGGTTCAAAAGATCTCAGAGAACAGAGTGTACTGGAGGCGTGCTACTGAAGCCCTATGTTCCACTAGGAACCCAAGGGACTAATAATATAATAATAATACTGTCTAGAGTGAAGGTTTGAAGGTCTTCTATTAGATATTGCATGAGTTCAAGTATGGCAACAGCTGTTTTGCTGTCAGTTGGTTCTTTAGTCAATACCATCATCGTCGAGATCAAAATAAGACCGGGTGTTACTGTGTAACAGTCCAAGTTGCTACACATTTCAGATCAGCACATCGAGTAACAAGGGAATACAATGGAAAATGAAGAAGGAAAGAAAAATCGGTCAGAAGAAATAGAAGTAGAAAGTAGTAAAACAGAAGAAGAAAGAATGAGAAAATGTTGAGATTAAATATTACGGTTAAGATGAGGATAATGTATGTATATATCTGTAGTACTGATATCGGTTCTGAGCCATATCACCTTAAGTCCTCAACTATTGGTTTCTCTTGTCACGTGAACCCCAAACGGCTAGTCTGGATCGCTCTACATGGCTCAAACGAATAGTCAAGGACTTCATGCAATGATATCAAGTTTTAAACTGGTGATCCAGAGCATTTTTCCAGCCTTAACCTATTTTGACCAACGTTGTGTGACTAGGCAGACGGTAGTTAAGCATACGTAATACATGTCCCAGCCTTCTCAGTTGATAAAAGTTCACAACTGCGTCGACCGTCTTACCTCTCCTACCTAAAACTCTACGTCTGACTTCTGTGTTACTCACATGGCGACACTATGAAACGCAGCCTACACTACGAAGGCAGCAGTAATCAAACACCTGAAGCCTTCTCATGTATACTACCTTTAATGGTCATGTTTCACAGCCAGAGTCGAACAGAGCGGACTGCAGCATATTACACTCGACCTTTGGTAGGCAATCGGATATCGTGGCAGCCCGAAAATGGCGTAAGTTGGGAAAAGTCAGTCGAGCCTTTTGTATCCGTGCGGAGATTTTGTCTGCCACTGACCGACGCACCAGGATTGATCCGACTTTCTAGGTAAGCGAAGTGTTCAACGCGCTCAGCCACTTCACTCTCTATTTTTAGTCTAGGTACCGTCGAAGACCTGGAGCAATGATTCTCACTTGTGTGATGAGGAACATACCCCAAACATTTTCAAATTGCCACTCAAGGTGTCCATAAGACTCTGCACCTTGTCATCGTCTTCACATAACAGGACTGTCATCTCCTTATTCTAGGTCAACCGAAAATTCCCCTGTAGCTAGGTCGATATCTGTGTGATCAGATGTCGAGAGGGAGACACCCATAACAAAGTCTATGATAAAATTGAATAAGAACGGAGAGAATGGGCATCCTTGACTGACACCACTCCACGTACACAACCCACCTAATGTCTCACCATACGCTCTGACATGCCCATAGGTGTTCGCAGTGATGTACTTACTTATTTGGTACCCCTTTCAATGAGAGACATTGCCATAGGACTTCTGGACCGACCAGTTAACTTGGTGTTACCTAGGGAGATGGTTGTTTCTAGGCAAAATCTTCTAAAAGCCTATCTATACTAAAAATCTAGTTGGAAATGAAAAACTCTTCAACCTAAGCCTTATGAAAAATTAAATAGTTATCTATTTTTCTTTCAGATTCTAAAGGTTCTTTCGGTTTATTAGCACATATGTTTCCATTCTTTTCATATGATGTGCCGCATACATGTGGTCCGGAGCCTGCAATATGCTGTCAGTTTGATTTCCTACGAATGGAAAAATACGGTTGTCCATGGCATACACTACCAGTTCTCATAGATGATACAAATGTTGCTGCTCGGTAATACAAAGTTGTACATTGTTATTTTTATACACTTAAGTGTAAATAAGTTATTTGATGTGGATGTCTTTGGTTTTCACAATTTCTCTCTCTCTCTCTGTCTATTTAAAGATACTAATTGTAAGCCTGGCGAAAACCACAGAGTACTGGATTTTCTCTCAATATGATTTACTATGAAAGCTATACAAAATATACTAGTGGACTGAAAAGAACTAAATGAACGTGTCACTTAGCATCCATATGCACGTTCGTGAGCTAAACAGTTTATCCCACTTATTGTGTGAGGACTAATGATGCTTGCTCTGCAACTGTCCAAACCTTGTTGAGTGGAGCGAGATGTAAACCCACGATTCACTGGTTAGTTATAAGTCGATTACTTAGGCAATTGAGCCACAGGTTCACTTAATCACGCCGATCGGCAAGACTTAATTGGGTGATCATGGGAATCTAGATATCATATGATCGTCTCACTCTTTTAGAACCGAACTTGTGAATAGTGTACCGTGATTGATTCAGCTAAAACCGACCAAACTACTCAAATTTTGCTTAGCTACGTAAATGAATTGATAATGTTAACAAGTTGTACAGCTCCTCATGTAAATGATACATCTAGGTGAAACCCAATTGTGGTGATTTCAGCTTATTAACTCTGAACTAAATCTGTCCGAGTACACAGCTGATGAACTTGACTCTCAATGAGCAAAACCGCTATGTAGTGTTTCAGTCACCGTGATCTCGGTATCAAGTATTGTCCATTAGTAAAATTGATCTGCAACTAATTATATCAGTCAATAGTACGTATCGTATGACTTTCAGTTTTGGGTGTTTTGATGTCATTTATAGTGTCAAGCAGGTGAAATGTTATCTCAGTATTGTAATTTTGAAAGGAGATCACAGAGAAATTCGATGATTGAATCTAATTTGGTTGCATCACTTTCACTCCAGACTGTAAATTTATAAACACGTGATTTCATTCATATGTAAACAACCTTGACTAATGGCTGTAATGGATCACATAATATTGAAACGTTTATTTTTTCATAATCTGCCTATTTAAATGTCCTGTTGACCATTTTCACATTGTGTAGTGATAAAGTAAGGTGAATTTTTGTTAATGTATGATTTCTCAGGAATCTGCGTACACTAATTCTTATTTGTTAAATAATGGGAATTTCTTGTCTATTTTAATTAAAATGGTACACTGATATGGGGAAGTCTTATTTTCCTGCTACCCTTTGTAACTGATATTACGGTGCTTTTAGACTCATTAACTTTCAGGGTGTTTCATCTTTTCGCATTATAAGATTTCAAACAACTAAAGATTCCCACAGAATTAATGAAAAGCAACAATCTGAACGAAGAATATTCTTTCCAATAAATTCTCTTCACGTCCTACTATTATAAAATGCTTATGTACAGTGTGAAATCAAGCCAAGTTAGGGGGGAAATAGATTTTCGAGTGACTTTAAAGGCCACCCTAGCAACTGATGAATCAACCAATCACGTTTTTCTGTTCCATGAAAAATGGTCTCCCCAAACAAAATACCACAACCTGAGTGGTTATTTTGTCAGTTGTTAGGGTATCCCTTAAAGTCTTCCTAAATTTTCAGAATGGAGTAAGATTTAGGGACTGGACTGTGAGTAAATTTGTGAATATTGATATGACATATACAGATAAATAATGTGATAGTGAACAAAAAGGTAACGAATAAGGAAGTCAGGAATAGCTTTTAGTTTGCTGAAGGCCAATGGAACAGTAATGCTTGAACATATTCCTTGTGAATACAGAGTTCAAGTTTGATCAATGTTATTGTGACAGCCTCTGCTATGTTGAGCAGGATTGACAAGCTAAATGTGGTATCATTATTGGAATACGCTGAATGACATTGAAAGCTTTATTAACACCTACGTGATGCCGTATGTCGACTAGGTGAAGTAGTACTGAACATTTCACCATTTTCACTTTGTCCTTTTCGAACTAAGCTGGTAAATCCTTATCCTACGAGAGCATTTACTAGCTTATTCATAAAAAGCCGAAGTGAAAGAAGAAGAGAACTCAGTTCTAACTCATGTAGTCGACACAAGGCATCACACAGATGTCAATAAAGCTTTCGGTGTCATTCATCGTATTCTAAAAACAGTACCATGTGTAGCTCTTTACTTCACTTGTCAACTGGAAATGAAGATTTAACCAATACACTCGTCTATTTTACTTCACTGTTGCCATCTTCATCTTTGAATGATTCTTTAAGTTAATCGATGAAAATCTCTTTGTGCCAATCAACAAACACTGTTTTCTTTTTAATTTATCAACTTTCTGAAATATTTTTTTGGTTTTAATAGTGTCTGTTATTTTCATTCAGTTTATCGCTATAGATTGTTTGTATGCTTTTGAGGCCTTGTTCAACTCCAGTTTAACTTCATATCAAGTAGAAAAGCCGTACACTCTATTTAGGCTTTACTACTATCCATCTACTCATTTGCTTTTTATGAAAACACTCAAATTAGCACTTTATAAATGTTTATTCTTCAGCATGAACAGAACATTTCTAATCTGCAATTTTTTTCTCATCAAGAAGGACATAGGTTGATAATATTTGTGTATTATTATCATCATCAGATGGAATTAGGTCATTGAATTGCTTGGTAACGAAAGCTAAGTTACCAACTGTTGGTCTTCTGGTGTTTCACTCTGTGTGTGTGTGTGTGTGTCTCGTTATCCGCTTGAAATGCGCTTCACAGAGATCCAATATGTTTTATTTTTGCAAAGAAATACAAATCACACCTTAGTTTGTTCTTAGTCTTCTAATAAGATTGAAACTGAAATATTTACATTTTATCACAAAATATAACTTGTTTCTTCTAAGTTTTACTACAAAAGTTTGATTAAAGTGTATATGCAGTGTTGTAGATATACAAGAAGTATTCAAGTGTTTTTATTGGATGAATTTTTGAAATGTGAATTATGCAAATTCTAAAAGCAAAACCATGTTCAGCGAAAAAACCAGGAAATGTCACTCAATAATATTGAATATTTTCATATTGCGAACTTGTTAACTATACATTTATTGTGGAAGATTTGGTATTTACTATCCAAGTACTTACAGCGAAATATATATGGAGTTGTTTTGAACAGTCAAGCCAGTGAATTTCATGTAGGAAATTCATAGTTATGTGCATTTTGGTATATTTGTTGTATTATGTCTTTTATTCAGGATAGAGTTAAGTATCATTTGAGTTCTTAAGTAACTGATGTGCATAGAAGAGTTCTTTTTTCAAATTACTCGTTCATCAGAACTGATACTTATTTAAAAAATCACTACAAAGTGTCTTTTTTTAAACAACAGAATATAGTAATGATGGATAGTGACTAGCAGTAGAATCCAGGATACGCATTTCGTCTTATTTGGGACTCGTCAACTGGATGTACCTACTTCTCAGTGAGTGATGTTGTTCCCACGGAGATTACTATAATTACTATAATTAAAACATAGGTAATATCGAGGCATCCGCGCATGAGCCCATGTGCCCGAAGAGACCGATAGATTCGATCTAATCAACGAAGGTATGATATGAGCAATAATACTGAACAGAATATGCTCTGGAATAATCAAGTAAAATTTGATAATGACGATAAACGGATGAACAGCTCAAAAAAATTTAGAGGGATAACATCCCTTGGATTTATAAACAATGCCAAACATTCGAACAAGATACAAAAAATGATATATTAGAGTGGTAGTACTACTTTAGTGGGTGCTACTGATAAGAATGAATATAAATAGTATATGTTGAGAAGTCAGCAGAAACCATAGGCAATTACCAGCAGTGGGTATATATTTTACCCGGAGAAATGCAAGAGAAAATGTGCGCGTATAAAGAGCAAATCGAGATGGAAGCAGAAGAGGAAATAAAACATTGTGCAAATGACTGTTTTGGTGGAAAGTGTACAATATTTTTGACTATTGTACAAGATGTCATAATAAAAATTCCTTCCTGCTACTGTGTTGTCGTTTCTTGCACTACTACTACTATTACTACTACTACCACTGAGGCTCCAGCTAATGTATCGAAAAAAGTAATAAATACACCCTATACAACACGTTTCAAATCATCAAAATTAATTCATCTTCATGCTAGGAACTAGGAATCGGTTAGTTATAATAATTAATTTTCCCTTCTATACATATCAACAACAGGTGTTGACCAATCACACGTTAACTTGCGTGTATACCATTATAGCTTATCAATAAATGAGGACTACTGTATAGTTACTGGTCGTCAGTAGGCCTATGCCTGCTAAAATTACATTCAAATTGAAATACCTGCATGGTGGCTAGCAATGGGATCTAGGATGCGCATTTCGTCCTACTTGGGACTCGTCAGCTGCATGGACCTGCACCCTAGTGAGTGATGTCGTCCCAACTGACACTCGAACCCAGTACCTATATCTTTAAATACCAAAGCGTTATCCCACTAGGCCACCGTGGGATGAGAGCAACCTTTTGTGCAATGAATATCAGTTGTTGTTTAATTCTAGTGTAATCTCACTTCGTTACACTGGTTCGGATTGGTCGACCTCTGTTGACAAATGAGTTCCTATGCTGAAATATTTGATAATCAAGTCTGGTTTAGATATTTATCTCTTAGTCACTGTACTAATATTTCAGTCAGTCAATATCGATCAACATGTCATCTATCATAACTGCTTAATAATTCAGTTTGTCACATCTCATATCAGCGGATCAAGATACAAGGCAGTAGGATCAAAGATACAGAGATAGAGATAGAATACAATCTTGAGTTATATAAAGTTCTATGAGAGAATGGAAAGGGTTGAAACAGTAGAGAAATGCTATTTAATTATTAGGGTGAAGATAATATGCTGCGCCACTGAGATCGATTCTGAATCTTGTAGCTTAAAGTCTGAAATCACCAATTTTTGATTGTCACATATACCCTAGTTGTAAAGCCTACATTTTTTCATATAACTAACCCCA